CCGGCGCTGCGGGCGCTGGGAGACCGCTACGTGCGCGACGAGTTCCGGCGGCACCGGGAGGTCGGCCCAGCCGAGGCCCAGCGCTTCCTGCAGGAATGGGAGGCAAGTGCCCGGCCCCGGCCCCGGCCGGGTGGGGGCAGGCGGAGAGAGCCCAGCCCGCAGTGCGGTACGTCAGGGGAAGCTGCGCCTAGCGCCACATTTGACACAGCCCCGCTTCCCGCGATTGCCAGGACTCCTGCCGCACGGTACATGTGTTCACTGGGGAAGCGGGCACCAAATGTAGCCCTACACGTGCCAAGTCAGTATGCTGTAGTTCACGGGTCAGTTGCGCCTGGACCTGCCACACGTGCACAGTGTCACACAAGTCACAGGTGAATTGTGCAATGAATTTAGACCGGCCACCCGTGCAAAGTAGCACACCATTCACTGGTGTATCGCACAGTGAATTTAGAGGAGCTGCGTGTGCGAAGTGATGATCCTGCAATTCACTGCTGAATTGTGCAAGAAATTTAGAGCAGCCATATGTGCAAAGTAATTATCGTGCAACACCCTTAGACCGGTCCCCAGTGCAAAGTAATGATTGTGCAAGTCACAGGTGAAGTATACAATAAATTTAGACTGGCTACACATGCAAGGTAATTACCATTTGATAAGGATGACTAGCCCACTGTAAAAAGAACCAGCTGCAGTTAGGCCTGGAAAATGTGTAACTGCTCTGTAGCTGGTTTTTATCCAGCTCTGATTTGAAGGTGTAGTAGTGCCTTAAAAGGAAATGGGAGAGGAAACAATGGTCATGAGTTCACAAGGCTTCTAAGCAGGGCACATGAGCCAGTACCCACTGCCTCTCAAACTGGTCTGAGGAGCCTGTGGGCACTGACCAGTGAAACCCTACTTGGGCACATGGTTTGGGTGGCCATAGGAAAACAGCCTTGCAGTCCCCTGGTTTGTCCCCAGCCAGAGATGCCTTCCCGGTCTGGTATATGGGGAATTTGGTCAGAAGTAGGAGGCTGACCAGAAGGTCTTAGGGAGGACACAGAGGAAGTGGATAAATGGAAAGGTCGGCTTTTTGCCGTCTGCAGGCCATTCTCAGAAGTGGAGCACTTTGCATTTCATGCCCTTTTCACCTCACTACTGTTGGCAGCTGCACTACCTTACAGTGGCTCACTGGCCATTTTCTAGCTATCTCCTCATTCCCAAAATGCCTTGGTGCGTGCTGTGTTAGCCATAGGACACAGCTGTCCAACGGGCAGCCTGCAAGGGATTAAGTTGTAGTCCCCAGGCTCCTGCCTGGCCACTGCTCCTCTCATCACTGTAGCTGCAATGGCAACTGGTGTTTCCAGGCTCCCCCTCACTCCTCCAGCTTTTTCTGTCTGCTCCTTGCTCTAGTGCAATAGGGCAGCGCAGTGTGGTATGGCTGGGTGAGCTGAGTGTAAGCCTGGGGAAGAGCTATGCATGGTGCAGCAGGGACAGGGGCAGTGGTAGAGCAGCGGCAGAATGTGGCCTATGGCTCACTCTGGGTGTGCAGTGCGCGGCTGCTTAGAAGTTGGACAGCCCTGTCGTAGTATTTTCTATTATTTAAGACTGGTCCCATGTTACACATTTATGAGCACTTTGCTTTGAGCATTTTAGTGTGCTTTGCTCATATTTCATTGACAATCTTTCACTGTCAAAAACCCTATTTAAATAATTGATTTTTATCAACTTTCCTGTTGTATTTTGTTTGTTTTTTTTAAAGAAAGGTGTGTTTTCATTGGTTGATATAACAGTTAAAACATGTTGATTTACAACTAAATGTACAGTTTTGGTACATATGTTTCCTAGGTATACAACCTATATATATAACTTAACATATTTGGATTGTTAGAAGTCCTACATTTTAGGATGCTATAAAATGGTGAAATATTTATTTCTTATTCACTATATGATTTTTGGGTTCATATTTGTATCAAGCTGCATTAAAAATGCAACTTGAATTTAATTAAAACACACAAAACCTGCACTTCAATTTTATTAAACAAACCAATGTTTTGGATACAGAAACTTTTTTTGTTTTTAACAAAACACGGTACATGTTTACAACTAACTAGATACTAGTATTAACTGCTATATTATTAGAAGTGTGAACTCTGGTTAGTGAATTAAACCATTATTTCAGGTCACCCTGGGAAAAATGTTCTAAGATGCTTCAGTGAAAGTCATTTGAGCTTAACTTCCTACTTGCCTAATTTTCTTTAAAATGAGAGTAATTTTTTTAGCTAGGCTGTTTGAAAAAAATTACCCCCTATCTTTCAGGTTTTTAGAACTCGTAAATCTCATCCACCTTCCCCTTTTTATTTGTAGCCTGGAAGAGAAAAACAAGCCTTTTGACTTTTTCAGCTCCCACTTGATTTCTCAGCTTTGAATGAACCAGTCCAAATGGAGAAAATATTCTTTTTGCACCTGCAGAAGTGGCTACTGCTGGTAAAAGCACTTCAACAAACTCTAGTTCCAGATGCTTTGCTAGTGACTTCCACCAGTTCCATCATGTGACTTTTCTTTAAGACATCCTCAGCACATGTACTGCTTGAATGATTTATCTCTAGTCCTGAAATTTATTCTGGTTGGCATGATTGATGGGTGATTAGCAGCATTTTCCTCTTCAGCAGTTAGGCATCTACCCTGGTACTTTGTGTTAAGACTATTGGCAAGAAAATGAGGTGGAATAAGTGCTTGATCCATCTGCTTCTTTATGGTCTGCAATTTAACTTTGCCATTGGGTATTTCTTGCTTTAATGTTTCTTGAACTTCTTCCCAATTTTCATCAGAATCCACAATACAGCAGCAATCTTTCTGTAGTTTGTCCAAGGCTATGGATATAGGTTTTAGTGTATTCAGTGTATCTTCTACATTTCTCTTTGGTCTAACATTGACTACTGTAGTTATGATACTTCCATCAATTTTGTCACAGTTTTCTATATAGATGGTCATCATAGTAGGCCAGTTTTTAATAAATAGCTCAGTGCAGTCAACCACAGAATTCCACTGTATATCTTGGTGGCAAATTAGCTTCGATCCCCCCAACTCTTTTCAGTGAAGCTGAAGCAACTGCTTGTTACAGAAGTATTTTGCAATTTCAACATTTTCCTTTATTCCTGGATACTTTAGTCTTTGGCTGAAAGATGCATCAAATGACCACTGCGCCTATATGTTATGTTTCATTATCTTTTAAGTTTCTTTTCATCTTTGCTACGTTTGCAGCATTGTCTGTGACAAGGCCACACACATGATACTTGAACTTTTGCTCACAGTGGGCACTTCTACACGTTTATTAATGCATTGTAGTTACTGCGCATTAAGTTTAGTACTTGGTTAACCAAGTACTAAATCAGGCTTGTCCAGCATATGGCCCGCAGGCCTCCATGCGGCCCACCAAGGCATTTTCTGAGGCCCGAGGTGCTGCGACAGGAAAGTAAACAGTGTTTACTTTCGTTCCCACCCCTTGTCCCTCCCCCAGCCACTCAGCAGCTTCCTAGTGGCTGCTGAAGGGCTGGGGAAGAGACGGGGTTCCCACAAACTTGATGTTGCTTGACGTTGCCGACACGGTGTGTGTGGGAAGAGGAGTAGCCATGTGCCTCTTGGGACAGGATGAGCCCAGCCGGAGCAGCAGGGGCTTAGCTGCACTTTCCCCCTACCTGCGCTGGTCAGTCCTGAGCAGCACACGGCTCCGTCGCCGTTTCTGCTGGCTAGTGCCGACCCGGGCGGGTCTGTCCCATCTGGAGCAGCATGCAGCTGAAGCCGGATTCCCTATGCTGCTGGGGATGGGAGGAGGCCGGCCAGGTCGGCACCAACTAGCAGAAGTGGTGGCTGAGGCATGTGCCGCTCAGGACTGACCGGTGTGGGTGGGGGGGAAATACAGCTGAGCCCCTGCCGCTCCAGCCGGGCTCGTCCTGTCCTGAGTGGCGCATGGCTCCTCCACGGCTTCTGCTGGCCGGTGCAGACCTGGCCAGGCTCCTCCCATCCCCAGCAGCACGTGGGAAGCCAGCTTCAGCTGCATGCCACTTTTCCTGGCTGGTGCTGACCTGACTGGGCCCATCCCATCAGGGCAGCTTGTGGCTGAAGCTGGCTTCCCATGTGCTGCTGGGGATGCCCGGCTGGGTCGGCACTGGCCAGCAGAAGCAGCGGTGGAGCCTCCTGCCTTTTGGGACCAGCTGGTGCAGATAGGGGGAAAGTGCAGCAGCACGTGGGGAAGCCACCGCTTGATAGGGGACGGGATGGGCTGGCCAGGCTGCACCAGGGAGAGGAAGCTGTGGCTGAGCCCCCTGCAGCTGTGCTGTATGCTTGTTTAAGACAACAACATGCTCAAGAATAGGGTATGAATGATCTGGGCGCCAACGTAAATTTGGAGCATGTAAAAATCTTTGTAAAAATACTGTCCAGTGTTTGGATTGTGTTTGCTTCTGTTTCTCTTTGTGCGGGATTGGGGTTCAACTTGTTACTAATTGTTAAAGATGTGTTACTAACAAGTTGTTAATTCAATAAAAGTAAATCTTCTTGAAGTTTATTCTCAAAAATGACCATATTTTGTTGCTTTGATTAGTTTCCTCTCTGGCTGATATCTTTTCCATGTTTGACTGTCGACTTGCATTATGCTTCTTTCATTCATTGAGAAGTGAGTAGAAGCGGAAGTGTTTATTTTAGTCAAGTGTTTGGTATTATTTCATTGTTCCTTTTATATTGTTTTTATTTTGGATTTTAAACCACCTTTCATTTTCACTTCCTGCAACTTCATTGGTGTCAAAGGTTATGTGACATCACTTCCTGATGTGATACCGCTTCCTGTGAGGTCTTTGAATATGGCTCACTGGCCCACTGGATGATAAAAAGTTCATGATCCGGCCCCACACTCAAAAAGGTTGGACACCCCTGTACTAAATCAATGTGCAGTAGCGCCAGCACACGGGTTTTTAGTGACGCTTACAGTGCAGTAACCTAATACTACACAGTGTTATTAGGCTGCTGGGCAGTTAACGTCTCGTGTAGACATGCCCAGCTTGTTGTAGCTTTTACTGCTGCTACTCTTAAATATTCTGCAGTAGGTGCATTTCCTGATACAATACAATTGT